CCCCCCCCCCCCCCCCCCCCCCCCATCCCCTCCCCTCCCCCATTAAGAGTATTATAATCTCTATTATAATATGTAGATACCTATTTTCCTACAAAAAAAAAAAAAACTATTCTGATCAAACCGCTGTGATATCGACATTAACAATTGGAACAATTTCACATATTCATTAAGAGATTAGTGTCTATCAGAAATGGCCCGATGTCCCCTCCTAAATGTCATTACAACAATCTCCAAGCCAACTTTTTTGATAAGAATGCTGCCATCCAACTTGAAGAGAAATTGTATTTTTAAACAAAAGAAAATGAAAAAAATAATGAAAACAAAACATACACGCTATACTGGGCTGTGCGAAGTGATTGGAGTTGACTTAACAATTTCAATGCAAGTACAAATCTGTTCTTATTGGCCACGTATATATTGATAATTATAATGTTACATGAAGATATAGATGATATAGTGAGTGTATTTGTGAGTATGATGTTCATCAATCATTGTGAAAATCAGTCAACATTCACTCGTTAGATTCTGTTCAGGATGTATCACCATACTACTTGGTAATTCAGTTGCAATGAATTTGTATATGTTGCCCAATATTGTTTCCTATCTATTTCTCTCTTGAGTAGTTGTTTTTGGTGCAATAATTTTAGAAAAATTTATTCATACAACCGTCAATGTAATTCTAATTGATAAACTTTAGTATAGAAACTAATTAATTGAGATTACATAAAAAAAGTGTTGATTGTAAAATTTAGATTAACATTGCAATGGTATAATTACTTTCCTGAACTGATTAATCTAATTTAGAAACGTATGAACAAAGCAAGCAAATCTATATTTTTTTTTTCTCCACAGAAACTTTATTTATATCGATGACGATAGACGAATCAACTATTTTATTATGTAACTCATTGTTCAAATTTATTTATATCTCAAAATAATATAACATTCTACTAATTGTATTATAAATATTATCCAATTTTTTAGCGAGAATAATTAAATAATGATATTTATAAGAGCAAAATCCGCCTACAGGTTTGCCAACCTATAGATGATTATTTTCTTATTTTCTTGTCAATTGAATCGAATAATAGAGAGAGTCTTTATAGAGTTTGTCGTATCAAGCATAATAGTTTTAATTTGTATTCATTTGAAAGCGATACATATATGTACAAAATTACTTAACCTAAATTTAAACATTATAAAGGTTGGTAATATTTTTAAACGGCACTACCACTAGCCTACATAATGTTTATTGTAGATAATAAATGTGATAAATGTAAAACGAGCTTGCATTCAATTAATACTTGACAAAAGCAACTGAATTTTACAAGTAGTATGCGAATAGTTAATTAGAGACACGTGTGTAGTAAATGTTGTATAAAGTAGATAATTATAGTTTTAATTAATGAAAATAGAAGTGGCAATCTCTATTTGTATATACATTCACACACATATATATTATCCGCAAACCATAATTATCACACTATAAATGAACAATAAATACATGAGATACTCTAAGCGATAAATCATAATTTTTAGGCCTACGTTGAAGTCTCGCGTTATATATACTTAATGTGGTTTGAAACACTCGAAACTTAATGTTCTGTTTTATCTTACTATGAATAAGACAATGGTTCACGCGATGAAATCATTTTGATAATTCTTTGTTGAACAACATCTCTGTCAAATATTTCAAATTCATGTACTTCTCTTTTTAATTTATATATTAACATAGTACAAATAAATTATACATTATTTTTCAGATAATGTGGAATAAAAATTTAGAATTACAGTTTTTAAATTATGTTACGCGCTAAGTTACGATACAAAATTTATTATCCCTCCAGCAATGGATTGTTGACCTATTTTTTAAACCCATTTGATTAATTTCACAGAACTTGGAAGTCAAGAAACGACAAAGAATGATCCTTTGTACAAATACTTTCGAAATGTAGAAAAATCATTTTATTTGGAGTCAGATTAGAACTACAATCCATAGCTTGGGAACCTATTCCGAAAATACAATTATTTTATCGTTCGCTTGGTTTCTTGAGAAAATGTTTCATCAAATACGTTTCATTTGTAATAACATTTTGCATCATTCATTTAACAAGTACTTGGCTATTTATTTATTTATTTAAATAAATAGCATTATACATGTAAAAAAAGGGTGTATCGAGATAGCAATGAAATGTAGCCTTTGAGTACATTTTTTAATGTTTCTATGCGCAACTTCTTAATTGTTCATTGTCACCAGAATGGAGTTAATTGTAATTTGAATGTTTTATATCAAATTTGAATATTTTTTATTATTATAAGTAGAAAATCATGCTCTCAAATCAAAGTGATTCGGTTTAAATGTTAGCAACACATTTAATATCTCTATCCTATTGGAATAAGTATTAAACCATGCAACATGCGTTTTTATGCATTTTGGCACAGAAAGCTTGTGCCATAGTATTAAAAACAACTCTGACGGAAGCTCAAGAAGATTAATGATTAATATAATATACGCGTCAGGACTTTATATGTTCATTCTAAACACAGTAGTTCTCAATGTAAATGGTTTTCTTGATCAACATAGCTGCACGATACGCAATATTTACACCACAAGAACATTCCGCAGTGAACATTAAAGAAGAAATGTTGAAATTGATTACGAGTATGGATTTGGTTACTCGGTAATTGTTTCGTCGATCGAATAATTACTATTCCTTATGACATCACACGATTTGAGTTGATTTTTGTCTCCAGGGCTACAAATGATCAACTTGAAGACTGTCCTTTAGACATTGAAAAAAATCAAGCAAGGTTTCATCATTTTGTATTTTAATCATTCGCGTTCAGAGCATTGTTGAGCAGACTACTGGTCAGAGTAAAAGCTGATTTATTAATATTTGTTAAGATAATTGTACTTTTAAGCTTTCAATTGTACAATATCTTGTCTCCAACAGAGTCTCAGATGCGAAAATCTAATTTGATTCTCAATGTAAATGATTTCTTGATTGGCATAAATGCATAACGCGTAATGTTTATATTATAAAAACATTCCGCTGTGAACACTAGAGATAGTGTGCGTTTGTTTTATAACTTATATGTAGTAATAGACTTGGTAGCATCAGTCATTTTAAGGAACATTCTTAATCAGTTCAATGAATTCTCATTACAATTTTTTTTATGCAATATTGTATAAACATACATATTTGTAAAGACCCTTTAAATCGTATCACAAGTCATATAAACATTCATCAATTTTATCATATACATGTTATAAGCATTTACATGTCAAGAAACGACTACCATTTTGCATCGAAAAAACACAACAGTATTAACACTTACTATAATACACGCGATGGAAGAAAATGCATACAATCCTAAACGTAGACTTAGAAGAAACCTAAATGGCGACTTAAAAGGACATTTACTTTAACTACAAGAATCTTGTGTGTATGATAAGTAAATTTTTTGCAGATATTAGCGTTGAAGTTAGATTGCTTCTATAACATTTCAATCACGTAAAATTTATCGATCGATTATAAAATAAGTATTCAACGGATGTTAGTAAAAACGAATGTATTTCTTCCATAGAAATGTTAAGACAAAATATTCAATAATTCCTGTATTCAAAAGACATTCAATTATTTATTCTACATTTTAATTACAAACAGTACCATTCCATGATTATAAAAAGGTAACTTACAATATTCTTTGAATTTTTATTGCGATACTCAATATGTATTACTAACAATGAAATCCATAGGCAATTCCTTGCAAAGCTTTACCAAAATTTACAATAATAAAAAAGGATTGAAATACCTTAAAAGTTTGAGTACAATTGAATTACAGAGCCTAATAGATTCAATAAAATATTGAACAATAGAAATACAATAGTATTTCTTGTCAAATTTAAAATTGGGTAATCATATGAGAATTCATCGAACTGCTATATAATAATAATAATACTAATAATAATAATAATAATAATAATAATAATAATAATAATAATGTAGACACAACAGTATATTTTTCATATTTCAATGAGAATTCATTGAACTGCTGCATATAATGTTATCTCGACTATCGATTCGAAAATACCCGATAGTAATAACCAGACGCTGTTTAAATATGTTAATTCTCAATCTTCTGAGCTCCTCCATTGCATAGAAAACTCAAAACTAGGTTTAGATTAGTTAATAATAGGTGAATATTTTTATGCGATTAAATATTACCTGTCAGTCCTAGATGGTACGAACTCCTATGTCTTGTTGTTTGAACTGTTAAGTACACCTTCTATAGTTGATACCTAGTAGATGACTTTGTAACATTGAGTATGCATGTAAACACAAAACACTATGTACGCAATGCTGAATAGAATATTCCTACTAAAATTCAGTTCAACGCACGAATACAACATGTTATATCGGATACGATAATTAAAATTAAATTTTGAATTTAGTAATTGTATTATACAAGCGACACCAAAAAATAATCTTTTACGTATATAATACTTTATAATACACTCGAACGCTTCTAGAGTTATACAATTGTGTAATAAAACTTTACACTATTATTCGTGTAAGAAATATTCGAATCTCCGCCAAGATCACTTTAATTTGAAAGCAGCTGTGACTTATTAAATCTTGCGCGTTACGATTATACTTTCCAGTACATAGCCACTTCTATGTACCACTTTTTCGCTAAATAATCTTATCGCGTTAAGTCGAATGTAATTTCTAACGTAAGCTCAATGATGGCTTATTTTTGTTATAATTTTTCTGTTTTTCTATTTATTACAAGAAATTGCATCACACGAGCGTAGAATTTAAATAGTAAAAAGTGTAGAATTATAGGATTTAAATAGTATTCTATATGGTATTGCGTG